CCTGCCTGCCTGCCTGCCTGCCTGCCTGCCTGCCTGCCTGCCTGCCTCCCTGCCTGCCTGCCATGCACCTGTGTCACAACTTTGGGTTTGATCCTTGAGGAAGTAGGGGACATTAGAAAGCTTTCTATCTCATTTCAACAGCTTTATTTAGGTAGGATCCAGTTCTTTTGTCCAGTAAATGTATGCAATTGTGCTGCCTTGGCCCCCATCCAAGAGCCGTTCCATTAGCTCAAAGAATCCTGCTCGCATCCTTTGCCCAGCTGCTCCTTCAGGGTCACTTTTTATCTGTAAGCCCTGGGCAAAGGGCATTGGGGATGGGGGAGGGGCACTCTTGAGAAAACCAGACAGGATCTGGTTTTCATGTCCTTTCTTTTAAAGCAGAATAAAGCTCTCATTCAAGTTTCTAGTTGTTGACTTGAATTCCAGGGAGCACATGTACCAGTCCTGAGCAGGCTGACTCCAGGCCAGGGTTTAATCTTGCAGGCTCTGTGTGCCTGGGAAACCCTGGCTGGGAGCCACCAGCTCACAGTGTCCTGACCCTCTGAAAGGTGAAGTTGCTGACTCCTAATCTTGCTCTCTCCAGGCTGTGCTTGGGGCTAAAGTTCCCTGTCAGAATCCTGCCTTCATCAGCTTCTGGAGAAATCTTCTCAGGAGGCTTTAGGTCTGCCTTGCTGCTGAAGTGGAACACAGATGCCTTTTGTGTGCCTCAGATTTTAAAACAAGGTAACTGAGCAAGAAACCCTTCACTGACAAGTGTCACCTACCTAGAGTCCTTTGGGGATTAAATCAAGGATAGGAATGACATGATGTGACCTTAGGAAAGTGTGGGGAAAGGCCTGAAGGCTGTGGCGGTCAGCCATCAAGAAGTGAAGAGTCAAAGAAACAGGCTTGGGGCAGAATACAGGAGTGATGTCTGGGATATCTGAGGCTCTAAACCTGGTGGCTAAGAGACAAAGGTGGAACACAGACTTTTCTGGAAAGTGAGAGTCAGAAGTAACTTTTTCCCTTCTAAGTCACCTCCTCTAATGAGGAAAGTAGCTTTGGGATAGAGTTGTCACAGGGCTTAATGAAAAGTTTCTTAAAATAATTCTTATTGTTGATTAAGCATATGTTATTATACACAATAATGTTTCCTGTGGCTTTTTGGACATGGATAAAATGCTTTTTCATCCTAGTCACCTCATTGCCACCTTTGTCCTTTTCCCACTGACCTCCTCCTACTCTTCTTCTTCCTCCTCTCCCTCCTCCTCCTCTTCCTCTCCCTTTCTTCCCCCTTTTCCACCCCCCCCAACTAGTCCCTTTCTGACATCTTTGGTTTTCTAAGTTATTATTTCTTGAGCCCAGTGAGTTTAACTAGGGTTGCTTACAAGAGCATGAATGGTTAGTTTCAGGAGCGTGGGTAATTTATTAGTGTGAAATAATGTTGTCGTTGTTATTGTTATTGTTGGGTTTTTGTTTCCCAATATGCTGTGTGCACAGTCAGCCTTCAGTGGTTGTGGGTATTGGCTTTTCCTGCTGTTGAAACACATTATCATTGTCCTACTGTTACCTTGTTCTGTTATCTATCTCTCAAGGAACTTGGCCCAAGGGACTGAAATTAAGAGTGTCCCCAGGCTACAGATCCTTCTGGCATCCTGTGAACATGCAGAGTCACACACACACACACACACACACACACACACAAACACACACAGGTGGGAGCTGAGGCACAGGTCTTGGGACCACTCATGCTCCAAGGCCCCATACCCTGAGCAGCAAGACCCTAAAACAGAGCTGCCCACTGGCAGCTCTGGGCACTTAAGACACCTAGCTGCTGTGTTACCTGAAGCACACAGTGTGCTTGCAGTCTTGGTACAAAATACACATGATCTGTTGTTCACATGCCTGGTTAAGTAGGGTATATTATTCTAATTTGCTTCTTACTTTCCTGCATCTCAGTGCTATAAAGTTGTGAGTGGCATATGTGGCTATCATTTTGTCTTGACTGGGCAGAGCTAGGTCGTTTGAGGTGCCAGCCATGTTAACTACACTGATCTGACCATCACACATTGCACAAATTAGCTGACATGTCAGAGAGTGCCCTCTAAAGCTGTTTATCAGTTAAAACAGTTAAGATGTGAGTTAAGGAGCCTGGGAGATTCAGTAAAATCTTTGTCCTCCAAGTATGAGGGCCTAAGTCTATCTCAGAACCTACACGGAGGAGCTGGAGACAGGTGGATTCCTGGGATGCACTGGCCAGCCAGCAGAGCCTAGCATGAATTAGAAGACAATGAGAGACCTTCTCTCAAAAAAGAGGGCAGTGCCCCAAGAACAACAGACAAGGCTCCTACATGTACATCAACACACACACCTGAATACACATGTGCACCTGAACACACATCTATACAACACACATAAACAATACACACTATCCATACACATACAATACATACATCCAATCCATGCACATAAACACACAAAATGCATGCTTACCTTTTTTTTTTTTTTAATACAGCAAAATTGCTGTCATTGGGGGATCCCTTTGAAGGCCTGAGTTTTAAGAAGTGGGCTATGAATGAATGACCTCAGATACATGCAGACCCTGATACAGGGAGAGGTAGGAGAGGACTTCCGGTTCAGAGAAAAGATACTTCCAGTGTCACAGCAGAATGACAGTTAGTATGAGCCATGCTGCCACTTTCAGGGCTGGTCACAGACTCCTCCTCAACCCAAATCCCAGAATTAAACATTACAGTCTCTCCTCTTTGGTGACAGACAGAAGGTAACAGAAGACATGAGATTATGGCTGAGAGGCCTTGTCTGCCAGGCTCTGAGGAGTTCCTGGGGAGCTTGCAGGATTCACACACAGCCACCACCACCCCCTATCCCTGAGGTTGTAGCCACCTGGGAAGCCATCAACCTGGGGAGGCAGCCAGTGCCCGAATACTTCAACTTTGCCCATGATGTGCTGGACGTGTGGAGTCAGCTGGAAAAGGTGAGGCTCACCCTGCCTTGGTGTCCCACGTGGGCCAAGTCCCCCACATACTGCAGTAAGACTCATGACTGTAAGACAAGCACATTGCAACATTGTTACCAGGCAACTTGGCAAGTCCTAAAATTGAAACGGTTAGCACTTAAGTCTGAGGCCTGAAGGGGATGAATTAGACCCAGGTGGTACAAGCCAGACACACCTTGAACAGTGTGCTTAAAGTGTCACTCGGTCTGAGCCCAGATCACAGAGGACATCTGTGTCTGTTCTTCATCCTCTTCTGATGGATCCTATAAGCAGAAGGGTGTTACGTTATGATGATATTCTGTGTCTCACACTCTCCCCTTCTGAGTAGGAGAAACAGCGGCTCAGGGTCAAAGCTTTTTACCTAGAAGCTAGCAAATACAAACGCCTCGTTTTATTGTGTGTCTTCTCTGTACATGCTTCCTTCTTTATTTCCCTTTCTATGTGTGTGTTATGGCTATCTCTCTGTTTTATATTTGATAGGAATAATTTATTGGTAATAAGATAATATAAGTTTTGATCCCAAGGAAATTTTAGTGTTAAATTTGTTTATTTACTCAAAAATAAAAAAAAAACAAATGAACAAGCAAACAACAAAAATGAGTTTATGTATCCCTGACTGGCCTGTAACTCATTATATAGACCAGGTTGGCCTTGAATTCACAGAGATCTGCCTGCCTTCCTTCCTGCCTGCCTGCCTGCCTGCCTGCCTGCCTGCCTGCCTCCTGAGTATGTTTCTTTGTTTTTGAGACAGTCTCAATCTGAAACTCAGGCTGACCTGAAAGTATAGCCAACTTGTAGCCCAAGTTAGCCTTGAATTCATGGCAAGCCTCCTGCCTCAGACTTCCAGGTGCCACAGGCATGTAGCAGCATTCTTATCTTTCAGAAGTGGTCCAGGATCCCTATCTTATCTGTGTTACTGTTAACAGCACTAGATGCAACAATATTACTGACTGTGATAAATTGGAACAGACAGAGTAAGGAGGAGTGAGGCTCAGAAGCAGCCTCTGCAATCACTAGGCTTGTATCATCTACATGCTTAAGCGTGAACTTGGACAAGTTCCCTGAGATCTCTAGGCCTTGGCTTCCTCATCTGGCACTGGCTACCCCAAGCTGTAGTGAGCATTAAATGAGAAGCAGATGTGTCCAGAAACCAGAATGTTCCGTCCTTAGCTACCTGCAAAGAGCAAGTTCCCTTCTGTCATTCTACGGGAAATTTCTCTTCTTTTCCTTCTTTGCTTTTCTTTTCCAGTGCTGAGGACAAAGTCCAGAGCCTTGCACATCTTAGGCCAATGTTTTATCTAGCTTTTGAATTTGGAATTTTGTTTTGGCATTTGTTTTTGATATCTTTGAGCTATGTTTGGCCACATAGCACAGCCTCATCTTGAACTCGTGATTCTTCTGCTTCCCAGTTGCTGAGGTTAGAGGTATTTGCTACAACACCTGGCCTGTGGGGCACTCTTACAGGTCTTCTTCTTTTTTGTTTGTTTGTTTGTTTGTTTGTTTGTTTGTTGTTTTTTGTTTTTCGAGACAGGGTTTCTCTGTATAGCCCTGGCTGTCCTAAAACTCACTCTGTAGACCAGGCTGGCCTCGAACTCAGAAATCCGCCTGCCTCTGCCTCCCAAGTGCTGGGATTAAAGGTATGCGCCACCACCGCCCGGCTCTTACAGGTCTTCTAAGGATAAAAACAAAAATTCAGGAGTAGGCCATATAAATGGTGAAAACGAGGACTTTCAAAAGTTCTCAAATTCACGAAAGCCTCAGTGACCAATGTAACACTAAAAAGGACTAAGAACCAGAATTCCAGAACTAAGCAGAGACATTGGCAGCTGAAGGGTTTATTCCTGCAATCCCCTGAGCCTCAGTCTGAACAGCAAGCCTGGGAGCATTTCAAGCTTCCCTGACTCTGACCCAATTCTCTAGTCAACCAGAGGCCCTGGAAAACAGCAGTCCTTTACCCCAGTGGAGCCTGACAGCCTCAGAAGGCAAAGAATGATACTGAAGTTTGTTCAAAAGATTAAACATTATTTGGCGTTACTTCCCCCGTGTTTTCCTTTTCCTTTTGAGATTATAATATAGTTACACATTCACTGCCTTCTTTTTCCTCCCTCCAAACCCTCCCATGCATCCCTCCTTGTTCTCTTCCAAAGGTATGCTCTCATTTTCATTATTGGTACATGTATACATGTCTATGTACAGACACATTTATTCCTAAATATAACCTGCTGTGTCTGGATGTTACTTTTATGCATGTTTTCAGGACCGACCAGCTGATACTGAAACAACCGACTGACTAGGTGTCACTATTGTAAAGCTGTCTAGACTTGACCCAAGTCAACCAGTAAGGAAAGTCTATTCTGAGGAAGCCATTTGTCAAAAACAACCGTAGGCAAGTGGTTTAAAGTGACTATATGTCGCAGATGAAGTGTTAGATATCCGTATGCCAACTGGAAGATAAACCAGAAGCTAGTGGAGTAAACGGGAAGCTAAAGAAAAGAAAGGCTAGGGACTGAGAAATGTGTATGGACTTTGAAAACCTCCAGTTCATTCCTGTGTATCTCAGAACTAGTGTGTGATTAGAGCAGCCTAGGGTCTTGCATGTGCCTGAAAAACAACTGATAAGCCCTGGGCAGGGTCTCAGAGTGTATGATCTCATCCTCTTCTAGTTTGTTTTCTCTGTGCTGTCAGACATCTCCCAGTGTTCCCCTCTCCTTCTCCCTCTCCCATGGACATCTAACTCTCTAGAGCTTCAAGCCAAAATAAACTCTTTCTTCAATTGCCTTTAGTCATGGCATTTTATCAAAGCAATAAACAAATAATACAGTTATACAACCTTGCAGAACTATTCTAAAACCAAGGAGATGTGTATTTTTATGTGGTGATTTGTAGGTGAAGTGAGTAATGGTTTAATTAAAAACAGGAAGGAACATGGAACAGTGTAAGTCATCTTACCTTTTACATTAAAAAATTGGTATGGTAAATTTGCTTAAGTTTGCATAACTCAACACTGAGAGGATATGTAAGTAGCAAATAAAACTGACCAGTCTCTGACCTACATGGACAGGGCAAGCTTTTCGGTTTGTGTTTGACTGGTTTTATGAAGGAGGGTCTCATGTAGACAAGGCTAGTCCTAAACTTGCTATGTAGTCAAAGATGATCTTGAATTCCTGATCCTCTTGCTTCTGTCTCCTACATCCTAGGCTTACAGGCAGGCTACACAGCGCCTGGCTTGTTTACTCAGTACTGGGGTCTGAGCCCAGGAATTGACGTGTGTCAAGCAAGCACTCCATTAACTGACTCATACCTTCGGCCCATTATTTTGATTTTTGAACTCGGTGATTAGATAACTATGTTGTTGTAATTTCCAACCCCAATAAGCCCATACACAAAACACAATCCAGTTATTATAATCATAAGCTATGAGCCTAGATTGGGCAGATCTAACACTATACTAACTTATTCCCCAGCTATAAGACCCCTTACTACTTGTGGTTTCTCCTGGCCACATGATTCTGCTCCATCATGGCTTCTTCCTCCTCTTTCTCTGTCCTCTCTCCTTCCCCGCTCATCTTCTTCTTTCTTTCCACCTACCCCCACTTTCAAACCTCCAGTCCCACCTTTCCTCTCCACTGCCCAATCACAGGCTCTAGCCATTACTGACCAGTTAAAATGGGGAGAACATTCCCATGAGATCACTTGAGTATGTGATGATGGGCTGCTCATCAGGGGTAACCCCTCTTGAGGAAGCAGAATTAGCATGAGAATACAAATAGCATCAGGACAGCCCACAATATTTCTCCCTCCCCTTTTGTCCAATTAAAAGGGATCCTTCTCCTATGGCAACAAACAATATATAGGAGGAACTATTCGACATGACTACTATAAAAATATGTTTTCCTTAAAAAACAAATAAGCAAAACCACTCAATAATGGCTTCTATTTTTTTCTTGGGTGCACCCACTGTCCAGACAGGGCACCGGCCCCCAAATCCTGCATTCTGGTGGGTGAATGGCTCAGGAACAGAAGTCAAGTGGACGTTTGAGGAGCTGGGGAAACAATCCAGGAAGGCAGCCAATGTCTTAGCGGGCATGTGTGGCCTGCAACCTGGAGACAGAATGATGCTGGTGCTTCCGAGACTCCCAGATTGGTGGCTGCTCAGCGTGGCTTGTATGCGAACAGGTCAGTGAGCAAGGTCAGCACTCACTTCATAGGACTGACACTGCCCACCAGAGCTTTGCAGTTCCCACAAGATTTGGAAGACAGATCAAAGAGAATCCCATATGGGGTTCACTCTTCCTTTGCCTAACAGTTACAGACCAGATTGGATGCAGTGGTCAGACAATGACATGTGAATTAAAAGTCAACTGCTTAGTAAGGGTTGAAGCATAAGGAGTCTTGCAGTTTTTAAGCACCTACTATGTGCTGGGAACTGTGCTAAGAGATCTGTTCCTGATAAAAACTTTTGGTCAGAGTGTTTCTTACTTTTGCTACCAAATATCTCACTTTCGCCTACCTATAGCTTTTATTGATACTCATAGCCACATTTCATGTTATGTGAGGTGGAGCCTCCCTTCCAGCGCAGCAGAAGAGATCAAAGCTGAAGTCAATACAGTCCTGCATCCCTACAGTTTCCTCATATGTTCTTGTCCGGTTACACTGATTGACTTCCTCTTATTGACAGCTCTGGCTGTCAGTCATCTTCCTGGGCCTCTGTTCCTAATGCATAGCAAACAAATGACTTCTGTGGGGTGTGATAACAGAGGCGAGCAATAAAGAAGCACAGCAGGGCTGGGGGCTAGCTTACAAAGACCTGAGTTGGATCCCCAGAACCCATACTAAAAAGAAAAGAAGCCAAGTGTGATGGTACATATTCATAATCCCAGCCTTGGGGAGGCAGAGATAGGTGGAGCCCTGGGGCTCAACAGCCAGCCAGCTTGGGCCACTAGGCAAGTTCCAAGGCAATGGAAGACTCTGTCTCACAAACAAGGTAGACAGTACTTAAAGAGTGACACCTGCGGGGTCTCCTGACCCCCTCCACACACATACATGCACATGTAACACCCACACATGCACACATAGCATACACACATACACACATACATAGCATCCAAACACACACATGTATACATAGCATCCAAACACACACATGCACACATAGCACCCATACACACACATGCACACATAGCACCCAAACATATATATGCATAAAAGAAAAACACAATTCAACCCAGAGTGTTCATACTGGGCACTAGAGTGTATGTTTGGAAGACAGGGCAAAGGGTAGTGAGATCATGGACTTTGCTCTCATGCTATGCTGAAGTGACCTTTTCCTCTGTTTCCTGTTCTCACTAGTTATTTTTCTCCACAAGTGAGTATGTTGAACTCTATGGAAAATACTAATAATCTGCACTCTGAGATATTGAGGGTTTTCAAATGCCAAGTCTGCCCCTCATACTTACTCCTCCTCCTTGGAGGTGCATGGACTCTGCCACCCTTAGCACAGATTTGGTTGAAACAGTGTGGGTGTTCTGGAGTCCCTACCTTCATTTATCAGCAAGTGATCCACATACAACACAGGATGTATTGCAACAGTTCATCTGAAGAGCATGAAAAACCACTGAAATAAGGAGTTGTTTCAGCAATATAATATAATCTATTCAAGATCATGGACTCGCAGTGTCTTAGTCAGGGCTTCTATTGCTGTGGTGGAACACACAAAAACAACTTGGAGAGGAAAGGTTTTATTTGGCTGACACTTTCACACTATAGTCCATCACTGAAGGAATGGTAAGTCCTGGGGATGGTACCCATCATAATGGGCTGGACCCTTTTCCCCATCAACTACTATTTAAGAAAATACCCTACAGACTTGCACATAGACTGATTTTATGGAGGCATTTTCTTAATTGAGGTTCCCCCTATCAGCTGACTCTAGTGTGTGTCAAGGTGACATAAAACTAGCCAGGACAAGCAGGTTAAATACTGCTTCATCTCTGCAAGTCCAGTTGTATTACACGTTTGCTATGTATTCTTGGGCATTCTATTTGATTTAATTAAGTCAGGAAAGTATGAAGACCTAGTCTCTTTTCTAGTGTCTGTCCTGTTTCTCACAACAGCATCCATCTCTGAGAATTGTGAGAATGGAGAGATACAAAGCCTAGGTAGTTCTTACCGCAGGCGAGCGCTCCACATCTTTGGGATTTCCTTGTTACCATTTTTGTTCCCTCAGGTGTTCGAACCCTCCTCAGCTACTTGTTTCTGTCCTTTACATTAGGATCTTCCTTCTCTCCTAACAATCTCCCTTCTCTGGGTGACCCAAGGTGTGGTCATGATCCCAGGTGTCTCCCAGCTGACAGCGAAGGATCTCAAGTACCGGCTGCAGGCTGCCAGGGCCAAGTCCATCATCACCAGTGACACCCTAGCTCCGCAAGTGGATGCCATCAGTGCTGACTGCCCTTCCCTCCAAACCAAGCTTCTGGTGTCTGACACCAGCCGTCCAGGCTGGCTCAATTTCCGCGAACTCCTGAGGTAAATTAGGACCTTCCAGGACAATAATAATGAGGTAGACTTTGAGCATTTTCTTTTATCTGCAGCAGGGTTGAATACAAGGAGACTGAACCAAATAGATGCTGACCTGAGACATCATCCTGTGAGCCCCCCTCAGTGTGCAAGGTCACTCAGTTACTGGGTGTGTGGCTGTATCCCTGTCTCCTCTAACGCGGTGGCAAAGATTGTTGGAATTCTTAGCCAGAGTATATAAGTTAAACTTTATGATATATCTGGTTCACAGAAAGCTGTCAATAATTAAAAGGCTGCCTTATATTGGTGCTTGCTGTATGCCAGGCTCTGTGTTAAATAAGCATTCAGCTGCATTTATTCATGCAGGAAGGATTTAATAATGCCTGTTCTGTGGCTGACATTGCCTTTGGTGCTCAGAACACTGTACTAAAGAAGAAATTTTCCTGCTTAAGCCTTGAAAGGAGCCCCACAAGGTGTAATTTTATTTTTACAGGCGATTAAACAGTCTTGAAATGGGAAATGACTCACCTAAAATGCCAAAGAGGACTAAAGTCAGAATTAGGGTACAGTCAATGCTACTTTGCTTTGTAACAAGAATGTGGTGGGCATTGGTCTATGAGTTTAAAATTGTTGTCCTGAACAGAGACCAGAATGCCTGTCCTGGTGGCTCATGCCTGTCACTCTAGCATTTGGGATTGTGAGTTTGAGGCCAGCCTGAACTACAAAGCCAGACCCTGTCACAAAACAAAATTAAAAACAAAACAAAACAAAGATAGAAATTTAAAAAAAAAAAGGCCACTAAGAGCTGGACTCCTGAGCCTGGAGTGTCCACCTCTGTGAGAAGATGCACCTGAATAAATACAAATTTGTGTAATTCGGCACCTGTCCTACTTAGTCTGACATATCTGAATCAAAGCCAGAAGATTCCTCATTTCTAATGTTCAACACATGACATTTCGGTGAGTTGTCGGGTTAACCTAAATATATCCTTTTTAATTTCGGTTGTTATTAAAATTATCTGAACTTTAAAAAAAAAAGACAAAAAAAAACCCAAGGTTCTGATTTCATTTTGTCCAAGGTGGAGCACAAGTAACAGAATTGCTTTCAAAAGTTAACTCAGAGAACACAAGACACAGCCAGGCTTGAGAACCAGGAGCTAGCTGAATCTTCAAATCCCAGAACTTGGGTAATTATCTAATCTCAAACCCCTAATTTTTGAGAAAACATTTAGGGAAAAAATGTCCTTACATGAGAATTGAGGTAGGAAGGAGACTGTTCATGGATGGACAGGATTACATGCATGAGAATGCATGTGTCCTACCACAAAGTCCTTAAAGAAGTAGGTAGGGATCTTCGTGTGTGTGTGTGTGTGTGTGTGTGTGTGTATACTTGTTCATGTAGATGTGTGCCCGTATGTGCAAGCCAGAGATTAACGTTAGGTATTTTGCTGTAATAGTCTCCATTGCCTTATTTTCTTGAGACAGGGTCTCTCACTGAACCTGGAGCAAACCATCTAGGTAGAATGGCTGCCCAGTGTGCTCCAGGGATCTTCCTGTCTCTGCATCTCCAAGCCTGAAATTACAGATGCAAGCAGCATTTTTGTAGGTTCTAAGGATCTAAACCCACATCCTCTCCTTTGCACTGTTCTGACTGAACTATCTACCCAACCTTTGTGGATCTCTCTAATAAGTCATTTGGGCATTTTGAGTCTCAATCTTACAGCCTTGGTTTGCAGATAGCACAAGACTCCACACAGCACTCCATACATGATATGGTGAAACAATCCTCTCACTGTTATATCTTTAGGACTGCTTGGACTGTTGTTATCAGTGCCTCTTCATGTCCTTGTGTTCTCCAGAGCAGCATCTCCAGAGCATAGCTGCGTGAGAACAAGAAGTGGAGATTCAGTGGCCATCTACTTCACCAGTGGAACCACAGGGGCCCCCAAGATGGTGGAACATTCCCAGTGCAGCTATGGACTGGGTTTTGTGGCCAGTGGAAGGTATTGGAACAGCTTGTCTAGAAGGTTCAAATACAAGGTGGGTGAGTGAACAGAGGGAAGAGACTGGAGAAGGAAAAAATATGGAAATGAAGGTCAAAGAGGAACCAGAGGGTTAGTCAGGTAGGGCCTTGAAGACTTTACTTTGAGGAAGCACAGGATCTGTTCCTTTAACTTGTCTTCTTAGCCTATGACACAAAGTTCAAAGAAAGTGCTGAGTATCCATTTGTTGATCTCACAGTTGAGTTGATGGATCTTGTCTAGATTTGACAAGCTTAAATGGTACCTTCTGCACTCTGACTTCCAAATAATCAGATGTGAATAATATAATCCATTCTAAAGGTGGAGCTTTGATGAGCATGTTCTGACTTCCTCTCATTTTTGGCAGGAGGTGGATGGCCCTGACTGAGTCCGACATATTCTGGAACACAACTGACACTGGATGGGTGAAGGCAGCCTGGACTCTCTTCTCTGCCTGGTCCAATGGAGCTTGCATTTTTGTGCATGAGCTGCCCCGAGTTGATGCCAAAACTATTCTAAATGTAAGAAGAAAAAGCTAGTGCTGGGCTTCTGAGCTTTGTACATGTTGGGAAAATGTCCTATCATTATGTAACTTCTCCAGCCCTTAGTTTGAAACAGAGTCATTATGTAACCCAGGATAACCTTGAACCAGAGGCCTTCTGCATGAATCCCAAGAGTGGAGGTTACGAGTGTATGCCACCATGGCAAGCTCTGAATCTCCTCTTGTGTCCTGAGTGTCAATAGGATGAATGGAATGCATGTTTTATGGTGGCATGAGCAAATTAAGAATCTAACGACAAACTCACTCAGAGCCTTTGTCATCCTGTTCCAGTCCGTTTAACAACCTCCAATCATTACCTTAAAATAGATCCCTAAGCACAAAAGCTCTTCTCTCCAAACTTTGTCAGAGCTTTTTACTGCACCCACACCTCTCTTTCCATCACCTTCTTCCCTATGCTCTTGTCAAAACACAAGCTATTTGTCAAAACTTTAGGTAAAATCCGAAGTCTAGTCCTCAGAGTGTGTGCGCTGTCCTTGTGCCTTATTGTGAGTCGTTCAGCCAACTGTAGACCCGGTACCCCCTGTCTTGTTTTCCTGGGGTCTTATCATGAAGGAGGGAGAGTGACATCCCAAGTGAAGACACTGCATACCTTTGCTCTCTCCTCCAAATGGCATTCCGTGAGATATCAATGAGCCTATCTCCCCATACCCATCCTTGAGACAAGCTGGGTCAGATGTGACAAGGTGTATGGGCTTCTCCATTGGTCAAACTTGGACTCTCAGCCTAGTCTCCTGACTTCTTTGAGTCTCACTCTCTAAGATGTCATGAGAACAAAAAGATACCGTGTTCCTATACACTAGCTGCTATTCACTTCCCATTATTGTTCATGGAGGATGTGTCAGCCACCTGTGCAACTTTTCTCTTCACTGTCCCTGGCCATGACACTATATTCATGATCTATCAAAGTTAGCAGCTTTAACACAAGCATTTATTATCTCACAATTCCTATGATAAGGAATCTGGGAGCAACTATACCAGGTGATTTTGGAGAAAAGAAGCCTTATAAAGTTGCTGTCAAGATCTCACCAATGAACACCCATACTAACAGCAGCATTGTTGCGATTCACGGTAACTAAAAGGCAGGAACAGCCCAAGCACTCGTCAGAAACTGACAGTGTAAACCAAATATAGTGTGTGTGTGTGTGTGTGTGCGTGTGCGCGTGCGAGTGTGTGTGTTACACACACACATGTGAGCGCTAGTCAGCCTTTAAAAAGGAGCAAATTCTGATACTCTACAATATGAATCTGGAGTTCCTCATGCTAAGTGAAGAAGCCAGGCATCAAAGGCCAAACACTACATGGCTCCATTTATATAAGGTACCTAGAACAGTCATGTTCATGAAGCTAGAATGGGTTAGTGGTTACCATGAGTCTGGGAAGAAGGTAATGAGAATTTATTGCATAATGGGTACACAGATCCAATTAGAAATGTGAAATAATTCCAAAGATGGACGGTTTCAGAGGACAAATACCTTAAAAATAAGTGAGGTGGGTAAATGCATGACATATATATCCAAGAATAATTTATATTTCTGTGTGTTCGCATGAATGCAGGTAAATGTGTGTGTGTGTGTGTGTCTGTGTGTGTCTGTGTCTGTGTGTCTGTGTGTGTGTAGTTCAGTGGTTCTCTTCAAATGTTATTCTTAAGGTGGTACCCACCTTATTTTTGACCTGGATTTTGTCTTTTGGGCTGTCACTGCTGGCCAGTGAGTTTCAGAGATCTACCTGTCTGTGCATATACTGCCACACCTGACTCCTTTTCTCATGGGTTGGGTTCTAGGGACCAAACTGGGGCTCTTATGCTTCACTGATTGAGGCATCTCCCACAATCTCCAATAATATTTCTTACAATCATATCTAGGAATGCAGTCATCTCAGAGCATGGTTAACCCTAGGTCATCTGTTTACATTCTGAATTGTAGTTTTATTGATTGTCCATTGAATACTGGCCAGAGGCATCATTTCCTCACTGTCTGTTGAGGACAGCTAGAATGTAATCATAACCTAGTACCTTGTCTTCTCCAGAATGAGTCACTCAAGAGAGGGAGAGAGGTAAGAGCATGTAAGATAGAAGCTGTCCTCTTTCTATAATCTAATGACTCAAGCAACTCCCACCATGTCAACAGGATGCTGTTGGTCCCATGGACTAACATTGGAGCAGTGTAAGAGGAGACCCCCATAAAGGCAGAAGTGCTAGAAGTGGATCATGGAGGTCACTTTGATCAGTAGATGCCGTGCACAGTTTTCTACTCTGCTTTGTCAATGAGACTGTGAAAATCCATTTCACCCATCCCATCTCACCTGAGTGTCTCTGAGAAAACTGTTCTCCTCTTGTTTTGTTTAGACTCTCTGCAGGTTCCCAATAACCACCATTTGCTGTGTTCCAACCCTCTTCCGGCTACTTGTACAAGAGGATCTGACAAGGTACAGCCTCTGCTTGACACTTACAGGGTCCTCATATGAGGACCCATGTAGACACCCACCTTTCAACCTAACTCTTTTCCTTCTTTCTCTATCTTTGTCTTCCTGGAAGTTTCTTGCTTCACCTCTGTCTTTTTCTTTCATCTTCATGTGCCTCTCTTGTCACTATCTGCTGTGTTTCACATACATACATACATACATACATACATACATACACACACACCACATACTCCTACATATCTTACATTAAGCTTTAAAAGATGATTTTATGAATCTTCAGAATTCATACTCAGAGAAAATTGAAAGAATTTAAGCCAGTCCGAAATTTTAACACTTGAGGTAAACTGTATCGCCACCATATACCGCCACACAGGTATAAGGAACAGGCTAGTTCCTTAGCATTTTCTGTGACTTCTGTCACAGAGATCGTTGGATTTCCACTAACCATTTATAGAATAGGATTGGTAGTTAAAGATTGCTCATTTGCTTAGACTAACAAGCTCTCTCACTTCATCACCCAACCCAAGTTAACCCAAGCCAGCCATTGCTAGGTATCTGCCTTGGGTTACCCAAACGAAGCTGACATCACTGTGGATGGCTCTTATTCTGGACAAATACAAACAGCATCCACTAGTTGGGCTGGGCTATTTGCAGGAATATTGAGTGAGTCCCCTCATCATTCGTTCAGTAACTTACAAATCCCAGCCATGTCTCCATCATCTCTCCTCTCCCAAGGCAGTGTCCTTAATCATACTCCTGGCCAGTAAATACTCCAAAGAAAAGAACACTTGCATGATGCTAACTGTATTCCTCTAAATATAAGAATCTACCCCATTTGTTCCTTTCTTATGGATATTTCCACACTGTTATTTTGGCTGGAAGCAGTCCCTGGGTAATTCTTCAACACCAATTAGATTCTGCTTCGCAATACTAAGTAATTGAATTGAATCATTGCAATACGACTGGGAGAAGAAAATAATCCAAAATGTACTTATATTTAGTGTAATGTTTGAACTGACAGACAGGTTGCTATTTATTTAATATCTCTGGAAATTTTATACCCAGTCTTCACAATTGGGAAATTCTTAAAAGGCTATTTTTAATCTATTAAAATTTTTATTGATTTATTACTTTCAATCAGATCATTGCCTCTATGGATTTATTGTCAGTTTATTTTTAAGTAGATTAATTTGGACAATCCACTGATGTGCCCAGACCTATCATATGAATCTGACTGTAGCCCAAATTCAGATAGGATCAATTTGCCTCTGTGGACAACAGCTGCAGAGAGAGGTTGGATCACTTGGAGCTGGCTGTGGTACAGAAGGGACCTTACCTTAGTGACTTCGGGGCTCTGGACCTATAGCAATGCTAGAGGGTAGGTAGGAATGTTTATGACATCGATGGCCTTGTCTCCCTGCTTGAGAAAGGTACAAATTCCAATGCCTGAGGCACTGTTTGACTGGTGGAGAGGCCCTCAACCCTGATGTGCGGGACAAGTGGAAGAGCCAGACAGGCCTGGAGCTCCATGAAGGCTACGGACAATCAGAAACAGTGAGTTGGTGTCTCAGGCCACCTCATCAGAGCCCTCAGCCCATCATAGAAGATCGCTGACCGACAGCAGTTCCTCACCTCTCCCTGACCTGCCAGAAACTGCCTTGGCTCAAGGGCACTGAAACTGGCAGTGGAAGGCCATTAGCCATGCTTCCTTTTGGTTTTAAGGGACGTATGGGTAATTTCCCATATGCCGTGGCCCTGCAAGGCAGCTTTCCGGATGCCATCTACGATTACTCTTCTTGTAGCCATGACAAACTATCTGGTCCATCATCACGCGCATATTCAGAATTGTTTCCCCTTTTCAGAGACACAGTGCCCTCTAGTGGATTCTAAATTCAATCCAGTTGACAACAAAGATTTTTTTCTTTCTTTTTTTTTTATTTTGTTTATTGGATATTTTATTTACATTTCATATGTTATCCCCTTACCCCATTCCCCAACCCGCCCAGGAACCCCTATTCCATCGCCCCTCCTCCTGCTTCTTTGCAGATGTGTCCCTAACTACCCCCCTCCCACCGCCCCACCCTCGAATTCCCCCATACTTGGTGTCCAGCCTTCATGAGACCAAGGACCTCCTCTCCCACCTATGCCCTTACATATACAGCTGGAGCCATGGATCCCTCCCTAAGTGCTCCCAGGCTAGTGGTTTAGACCCTGGGAGCTCTGGTTGGTTGGTATTGTTGCTCTCCTCATGGGGCTGCAAACCCTTTCAGCTCCTACAGTCTTCACTCTAACTCCTCCATTGGGAACCCTTCGATCAGTTCAATGGTTAGCTGTGCAACAAAGATTAATACTCATAATTGCTCAAGGAAGTTGTCACCCCAGAATAGCCCACAATGCCTTTTTTAGTAAAATCTTAAGCAGTGAACACTACAATCATCTTGGCAAGATGTGAAAGTGAGTGAATCTTTGAGCTAAATGACACAATTTATTTCTCCACCCATGAACACCATGAGTACCTCATGAAGGGTCATTGACCATGGAAAAAGAAGATAAAAAAAAACAAGGGAAAGGAAAGGAAGAGTATGAAAGTAAGGAAAAGAAGGATGGCAGAAGAAAGAGAAGGAAGGAGAACCAGATGGCAGGTGACAGCAAACGTGGACCAGGAAACAAGAGGATGAGGCTTCCCTGTTTGACACCGGTTTCTCTCCAGGTTGTCATCTGTGGCAATTCAAGAGGCTCAACAATCAAGTCTGGATCTATGGGGAAAGCAAGCCCACCTTACGATGTGCAGGTAGGCACCCTCTGCTGACAGTGCATAGAGAAATCTACGTTCTGGGGATATAGGGTGGGCTTTTGGGTACCCTGGCTGTATAAAGGATGCTCAGATGCCATGCTATGACCTCTCTTTCAGATTGTAGATGAAGAAGGCAACGTCCTGCCTCCAGGAAAAGAGGGAAATATTGCTGTCCGCATCAAACCTACTAGACCTTTCTGTTTCTTCAACTGCTATCTGGTAAACTGTGGGGAACAGCTGTGAGGAGTCACCACAATCACTGCACGACAAATCTTCAGAAATACCTGTAGTGTAACCCTTGTAGTAACTGCATTAAGTTGGTTGTTATTGTTATTGATCAGGGACACTGCTGTTGATAAAGAAGGTACAAAAGTGGAATGCCTTATCACATAACTTATATGCAAGGTTCTATGCTTAAACAAGAGTCTGTTGAGAGCACAGAGTGTGTTGAGAGTGGCAACTTCATCATAATTTTTTTTTTCGAGACAGGATTTCTCTGTGTACCCCTGGCTGTCCTGGAACCCACTCTGTAGACCAGGATGGCCTCGAACTTAAAAATCCTCCTTCCTCTGCCTCCCAAGTGCTGGGATTAAAGGCGTGCACCACCACTGCCCGGCTAAAAGTTTTTTTTTTTGGTTCAACTTTATCATAATTAAAGGAGATAGGAAAAGTTAAGTTCAAAGAAGCGAAGGTTTTTATCAAAGAGCCAACTGCAAGGTGGTGTCAGACCAAGTTTTCAAGATGTTTCTTTTGATTTGTTGGTTGAACTTGTATCCTTGGATTTCAGTCCAAGGTTCCAAAATAAGATAGTAATTATCTATCCTTTAGACATACTTTGGCTAGAATCTTTTCATATTCTTTTCTGTAACACTCTCAAACTTGAATGTGCATCAGAAACACCCAGGAAGCTTCAACTATTACTGATGCCTACACACCACTTAAACCAAATCAACTAAATTTTGGAATGATGAGAGCCAGGCCCCTGGGAAATTCAAAAGTGCAGCCAAGGAATGAGAACCACTTGTCACAGAGATACCATGTAGCTTATATACTTAGCTGACTGAATGTGCATTTTAGAATCAACTTGTCAAGATGCATGTACATGTTTGTTAGCAATTTAATTTTATTCTGCATTAAGTCGATAAATCAACCCAGAGGAAGCTGACTTCACACCCATTCTTTCTAATTTTCTTACACTAATCAATTGTGTGAGTGTGTGTGTGTGCGTGTGCATGTGCCAGAGCATGTGTGTGGAGGACAAAGAACAGCTTGGGGAAGTCAGTTCTCTGCTTTCTCCATATGGATTTGTGAATTGAACTCAGATGATCAGGCTTAGTAGTGAGCACATTGACCCACTGATCCTTCTCACCAGCTCCTCTTCGTTCTTTCTGTCTTTCCATTTGTTTACATCTGCTTTAATGTACTGTAGACTAATAAGAGCTTCAGGCCTCTCTGCCTTACAGAATGCTGTTAAGATACACATTTTAGATACTCATTAGTAGCCTAGCTTTTTCTCAAAATGTATTTTTGAATGTAGATAAAAGTTACTTGCTTTTTAAAAAGGCACCTATGGCAGGTAAACAGTCCAGTGACTTCTGAAAATGTGTACCTGTGTGGTCACTGCAGCAGTTAAGATATGAACACTGCCTAAACCTTTCACCTTTGCATGAGATCCTTTACAATCAACCTTCTTTATCTCAGACACAAAGCAACTATAAATAGTTACTATATAGCAATTTTGCTTTCTTGTTGAAATTTGTACATGGAATCACAAAAGAGCCATTTATTTTGTACCTTAGACTCAGGATAATTTATTTGCCAGTCATCCATATTTTTGCATGCATTAGCAAGTTTTCCTTTCTACTAAATAGTAACTTTTTACTTAGAATTTTTGGAACTGGGCTGCAGAGTTAACTTTGTGAGTAAAGCATCTGCCTTGCAAGCTTGAGGACTGGAATTTGAGTCCTTAGAACCTACCTAAAGCTCCACATGGTAGCACGAGTGTCTGAAATCCCAGCTCCTAAGAGGAGAAGGAGACAGGAGAATCCCCAGAAACTCATGAGTCAGCTATCCTGGTGCATGCAGTGCAAACAAAGTTGGGAAGGACTGACACCTGACACTGTCTGACCTCCACTAATGGCATTTGTCCACATTCACACACACACACACACACACACACACACACACACACACAGAGAGAGAGAGAGAGAGAGAAAGAGAGAGAGAGAGAGGGAGGGGCATCCACACACATGCAAGTAATTTTAGAATAGTAACTTGACATTTTCTTTACTCTATCACTGGGGTTTCAAGCCCTTTACTTTCTGTCTCCTGGTCTCGGTGTTCTTGCTTATCCAGCACTAGTTGCCCTGTGTGTTGCCTCCTGGGTTCACCTCTTCTAAGGATGCTCATGAGTGGTTGCTCTGAATCCCACCTGACAGCTCTCATTTAATTAAAAGAAGGAAGGGAAGTCATAAATCCAGCCTCCTGTCCTGTAGGAAATTCTGGACAGCTTAAGCCTTGAGAACCAATAGAGTAGCTGTTGAGGGGTGGCTGATCTCTGGTGTGCTCCCCAGTCAGGGGCTGGCCTAAATGGTTGTTCTCAAATGATCCTCCATGGACTTCCCTTGTCTTCTAGGACAATCCTGAGAAGACAGGAGCATCAGAGCAAGGAGACTTTTACATCACTGGGGACCGAGCACATATGGACGAGGACGGCTACTTTTGGTTCTTGGGGAGAAATGACGATGTAATCAACTCTTCAAGGTCAGCTTAGCTCTTTCCTTCCTTGAGCATCCGTGGAGGAAGGGAAGCCATGTGAAAAAGTTGACTTTTCTCTTCCAGCTACCGGATTGGGCCTGTTGAAGTAGAGAGTGCACTTGCTGAGCATCCAGCTGTCCTGGAGTCTGCTGTGGTCAGCAGCCCAGATCCCATTCGGGGAGAGGTAAGCCTTCAGGCTAGAACAGAACTTCATTGTTTTCTACTTATTAGCACCCAAAGGAACAAGGAGAATGTGGAATGGCATATCCCTCCTTTGGTCTCAGCCCCACCCCTAGAACCACAAAGCTGAAACTCCTCCTGCAGTCACACATTCCTGATTAACCTCTGTTAGAAGCATAAATACACTCTACAAAGACAAGGTGGGAAAATATAAAATTTAGCTTTGTATTTGGACAGCAGACAATCCAAGCAATCCAAATGCGACTGAGCACAGTCTGGCACACAATAGGTGCTCAATTCATGTTTAATAGTAATCATAGTAAAAGATAGCTCTTCTTAAAAGCCAAGTTTGTCTGAACACAAAATGATAGTGAGCTCACACCTTTGGAAAGTGTGCAAGGAGAACTACACCTTAGCTAAAGTTTGGGAAGTGTGCAGAGTTTAATGTTGGTGTAGATCTGCAACCAAGTGGCCTTTTAAGCTCTTCCGTTGCTATCCGAAAGTATTTTTTACTTTATTTTGAGGTTATAATATGATAACATTTCTCCCTTCTTTTCCCTTCCTCTAACCCCTCCCATATACCCCTTCTTGCCTCCTTTAAAATTCATGGCCTCTTTTATCATTAATTGTTATTACATATATATATGTATATACATATATATTCCTAAATATAACCTGCTCAGTCTGTATAACACTATTACTTGTATATATGTTTTCAGGACTGACTGTTTGGTATTGGATAACCAGTTGGTGTGCTCTTCCCTGGGGAAGACTATTTCTCCCATTCATCACACTCCCCAGTTGCCTGTAATTCTTTGTATAGTGTTGGCGCCTGTGGGCTTTCCGCATCTACTCTGGCTTGTCTATTGGTATTGTCCATGTTCAGCTCATGTTGAGGCAGCCATGTTGGTGAGACTTTATTGGTGTAGCCTCTGATATTTCTAGGAGAATAGGTGTTTTACAAATGTATTTATTTATTTGTGTGTGTGTGTGTGTGTGAGAGAGAGAGAGAGAGAGAGAGAGAGAGAGAGAGAATATAAATGTGCATACTACCACAGCACATGTGTGGAGGTCAGAGGACAACTTGCAAGAATAAAACCATGTAGACTAAAATCCACGTAATGCACTCAGGTCATCAGACTCAGCATCAAACACATTTACCCACTGAGCTATCTCAACAGCCTAGGAATTGTGTTTTGAAAAATTGTTCCCTCTTTATCAGAAGGCAAATTCCAGGAGAAACTTGGGCAGACAAAGCCAAGGTGCAGAACGCCCCTTGGAATGACTGAAACAGAAACAGTATAGCTCCAGGTTTGCTGATGGTAAACTTGCATGCAGCACTCTCCAAAAACCAGAGGCCCTTGAACATGGCTGTGTTTTTCTCAGTCCCATTTGAACAACTCCTACCCCTCTATCCTTCTGCAGAAAAACCTGGAAGTAAAGGGCCACTGTCATTGGGAAGGTACTTCCTCCAGTGTCTTTGCCTCTTACAGGAATCAGTTTTGGCTTCTAATGGAGCCATTATAAGTACGGCATGGAAGATGAGGCTCCAAATGATTCCATAAAAGCCAATGCTTCAGTCCTTTAGTATGAACAGGCAGGAAACAGGGAAAACAGTGTTGTTCATGCCACTGTCTGTGCTGAAGGATCTAGTCGAACCCTCATGTTTAAGTCTAAGTAGGCACATAGGCACAAGACCAGATTGAGGAGAAAAGTATTATTCCTGAAGGCTTGACCCCTTCTGGGGTTTTCTCCCTGCAGGTGGTAAAGGCGTTTATAGTCCTTTCTCCAGCCTATGCTTCTCATGATCCAGAAGCCCTGACCAAGGAACTCCAGGACCATGTGAAGACAGTGACTGCTCCATACAAGTATCCCAGGAAGGTAAACACCCAGGGTCCTAAGACATAAGCTGGGAAACCAGATGGGTCCCTGCTCCCTGGCCTGGCCTCCTGGGAGCACTAGAGATGCACATACCCCAGTTGATGCTTCAACCTTATTTGCCTTTAGTTATTGAATTCTCCCAGAAGCACATGTTCTTTCTCTATTGACCTGTGAACGAGAAGCAAAGGCCTTAGTGAGAGGTGAAGGCGCACGTGCTCTAAGCATTAGCAGTTTTAACTGTTTCACATGGGGAAAACCCTAAATTGCAGGAGCTTCCCAAAGAAGTAGTGAAAGTAATGAGTCGAGAAAACAGTCCCTCTGGGAAATGATGGCTTTCTAAGTGTGATTGTATCTGTTTGTTTGGTCTCCAGGTGGCTTTTATTTCGGAACTGCCAAAGACAGTTTCTGGAAAGATCCTAAGGAGTAAATTGAGAAACCAAGAGTGGGGGAGATGAGTTGCAACCCAAGAAAGATGCTATGATACCTGAAGGTTCCGAAGGAGAAGGAAGTGGGGCTGGCCAGCTCCTCCTTGGAGTACTATCCCTTCAAAGAATAGGCATCAAAGATGGTCAGCTTCCAAATGGGCATTTTGGGATGATGCTGGAGAATGCAAGAGCATCCCTGGTCCAGAGCTTGGAGACACTGCCCAGTTCAGCAAATTCCCCACAACTTAACTTCTCTCTCTGAAGACATCCTCAGCATTGGTTTTACTAAGAGAATTCTGTTGTTCCTGGGACAGACAAATCACTGCAGCCTCAGGGCATCCGTGGTTTTATTATGCCAGTGGGAATGTAAACTGTGACCCTTTGGATGAAGTCATTTGGTAACAGCATCTGGGTCATAACATTGACCATACCCTTTTATTTAGAAATCACACTTTTGGGACTCACTAGAAAAGAAAAGATTCAAAATGCAGAAAACGTTTGATAAACAAAGATTCAGTGAAGCACTGTTTAAGACTGAAAACACACATAACTGCCAAAACAATAGAGCAATAATTAAATCAATTAACACTAGTCCCATCAATTAATGTGAGTATCCAAGTACTTAGGCACAGCCTGTACGCGGGGAGCGGGAACAGAGCTAATTAAAGTTTAAAGGGAAAACTGCCACTGGGAAGTGGCTGTGAGGAAACACTGGAGACATGACTGGTCCTTTTCCTTAGACACTTGCCATCTCTCAGGTTTCCTAAAGTAGAAACAACCAATTCAATGAACAAGCTGTTTTAGAGGGCGATCTTTTCTTCTGGGCCTGGGAGATGGTGCTAGTCATAAAGCACCTCCTGGGTAAGCATGAGCACCGAATTTTCAGATCCCTGATAGCTGTGTAAAAGCCAGCTGTAGTTATGTAAAGATCTGTTCCTCTGTTCCCAGGGCAACTCTAACATCAAAGTGCTGGTAAGTCAGCTCCATCCTGAGGTTTCTCTTCACATTGCAAGTGTTGTATTTGTCCTGTGCCTCTATGCTCATCTCCCATACCTGCAAAGGATGCATACATACTTGCTTCTCGACCTCCTCCTTGTTTAAGGATATCTGTCACTTCCTGCTACATGAGGCATTTGGATGCTCACGACCTATGTTAATTTTATTACTCCTTTAAAGATTTTGACTTTAAGTAAGGGGTTGGGGGTTACAAGCTCCAGGGACTTCCTGGGCCACAGAGTAAAAACAATGCCAGTCTGGGTGACTTAATGAGACCCTCTCTTGCTTTCATGACTCTAGGTTCAGCTTCTTTACCTGCTGTAGGTGGCAAGGGGCAAGTATTGGGGTAGACATCTATCCATTGCCCACACAATAGACAAGTTGCAGGGCCAGCTCTCCCACCTCTGGCAGGTGATGAGGGCAAAAAGGAGGAGAAGGGATCTCTCCCTTGCCTTCAGTGTCACCACCCAGCAGTCAAGAGGCAAGGCTGACTCTCCCACGCTCATGCCCTCAGGGGCCAGTTCACCTGCAACTCCCCACATTCAGGGTCAGTTCTACTATTCTACTCAGGTAAGGTGCAGGGCCAGCTCTTTATAGAGCCACAGCTAGTGAGGGGTAGGGGCAGCTCTCCTGCTCTCATGACCCCAGGGCAACTCACCAGCAGCTCCTTCAAAGTATGGTCTCACTCTCCCAAGTACTGCAGCTGGCTAGGGGTAGGGCCATCTCTCCTGCTCTCACACCCCCAGGACCAGGGCTTTCCCATGATGCCCAGGTTTGAGGGAGGCAGTTCTGCACAGCCCTCAGACATCAGTATGTCCCCATGTGGCAGCCCAGACCAGGGATGTCCACCTGGCCTTTGGTGGAAACAGACCCCTGCTATGCTGCCAAGCATGCACCTAGAACCTCATGGAATGTGCCCTATCATTGGTTGACTGAGGAAGAGAAGATAAGAGTCGGCTTACTGATGGTTCTCTCTTTTATTATGCAGGTGCCACCTAGAAGTAGGCAGATGCAGCATTATAGCCCCTTTCTGGGACAACCATAAAAGTCACCAGTGAAGGGAAATCTTCACAGTGGACAGAACTTCAGGCAGTATATATGATCATATATTTTATTTGAAAGGGGAAATAGCCAGATATATGATTTCTCCCTGATTTATAGGTTTTAGCCAACAGATTGGCTTGTTGGTCAGGGACATAGAAAGAGCATGATTAGAAATTAGGTGAGAAATGCATCTGGGGAAGAATAATGTGGATAGATCTCTCCAAATGGATGAAGGATGAGAAGATGCTGGTATCCCATGTAAATGCTCATCAAACGTGACTTCAGTTAAAGAGTTCAATAATCAGGTAGCTAGGATGGTCCATTCTGTGGACAGTCAGCCCTTCCCCCCAGTCATTCCTGTCATTGCCCAATGAGCCCAAGAACAAAGTGGCCATGGGAAGTGGCAGAGAGGAAGATTATGCATGGCCTTGACAATATGAACTTCCACTCACCCAGGCTTACCTGGCTTAAGCCGTATTGAATGCCAGATCTGCTAACAGAAGAGACCCATACCTAGCACCAGATATGGCACCAATCTCTGGGATAACTAACCAGGAATCTAGTGGCAGATTTACTACACTGGACCACTTCCTCTGTGGAAAGGACAACACTTTGTCCTTACTGGAGTAGATACTTACTCTAGCTATAAATTTACCTTTCCTGAACATAATGCCAGAACCACCACACATGGATTTACAGAATGCTTTATCAACCACCATGGTATTTCTTCTAACCAAGAAACTCATTTGACATCTAGAGAAGTGTGACAGCAGGCTCATGGTTATGGAATCCACTGGTCTTATCATGTTTCCCACTATTATGAAACAGATGCCTGACAGGAAGATGGAATGACCTTTTGAAATCATAGGCATAGCCCCAATTAAGTGGCAGCAGCCTGGAAGGTAAGGACAGGGTTCCCCAGAAGACAGTATATGCTTTGATTCAGCATCTGATATATAGTACAGTCTCTCCCATAACAAGGATCCACAGATCCAAGAACCAAGGCGTAGAAAAGGGTATCATTCCTAGTGACCTACTACAAGGATTTTTGCTTCCTGTTCTCACAACCTTAAAGTCTGTTGGCCTCTAGAAGAGACTCCATAGGGGGAGCACTCCTGCCATGAATCACAATAAACATTCCATCGAACTATAAGCTCAGTCTTCTCCCTGGCCTGGTTACTTCTGGCTTCTGATGCCCTTAAGCCAACAGGCTAAGAAAGGGTTAACAGTACTAGGAGGGTGATCAATCCAGATTACCAGGGGGAAATTGGATTGCTTCTGCACAATAAAGGTAAGAAAGACTATGTCTAGTGTGAAGGAGAACCTTTAGGGTATAGTATCCCTTGGTGCTACAATGTTCTGTGATTAAAGTCAATGGAAAACTATAATGACTTAGTCCAGGCAGGATGGCAAAGGGTACAGACTCTTCGGGGATGAAAGTACAGATCACTCCTTTAGAAAAAGGTCCAAGACCTGCTGAGGTATTTGTTGAAGGCAGAGGAAATACAAAATGGTTAGTAGAGGATGGTAGTATAAATACCAGCCAAGGCCACATGACCAGTTGCAGAAAAGAGAATTATAATTAACATGCATGTTTCTGTCATATTTTGTTAAGAATGTGTTTGTACAGATATCAGTGTTTTCTTTCTTTGATTTCTTTATCATGCGATGTAACATAAATTGAGGGAATATCAGTTGGCATCATATTTAAGCTTGAAATAGTAAAAGAATGTCCCTCAAGGGACATTGCCACCTATTTGAAATTCATAATGTGTTTGTGGGTGTATGAGGGAGACAGTTATATCATATTAGGAATAATTATGACCTGGATAAATATATAATGCATTTTGTGATTGTACCTGAGATAGTCTTACCATGTTTGGGTCTAATTATAAGCTGATTATTGTTTTCATTTGGAAATTAGACATGTGTGCTATCCAGTTTTATGTCAACTTGACACAAGCTAAAGTTATCTGAAAGGGGGGAAACTCAATTGAGAATTTTCTCAATTATATTTATATTATAACAAATCCTCTATAAGATAGATCAATGGGGCATTTTCTTAATTAGTGATCAATGGGGGGAGGGCTCAAGCCATTTTAAGTGGTGCTGCCCCTGGGCTGGTGGTCCTGGGTTCTATAAGAAAGCAGGCTGAGTAAGCCATGTGAAGCCAATCAGTAAACAGCACCCCTCCGTGGCCTCTGCATCAGCTCCTACCTTAGGTTCCTGTGCTGTTTGAGTCCTATGTTGACTTTCTTTGATGATAAACAGTGATATGGAAGTTTAAGCCAAATCAACCCTTTCCTCCCCAACTTTCTTTGTTCATGGCATTTCATCACAGCAATAGTAATTCTAACATAGACATCACGACATAAGGAGATATACTTGTATGTCAAGTTGACAAGGGGTGGACTTGTGCTGATTATTCTTGGTCGTCAACTTGACTACATATGTAATTAACAAAAGCTCAAATGACTGAGCACACCTGTGAAAGATTTTTTTCTTAATCATTTAAACCGGGAAAGCCAACCTCTAATCCGGATCTTTGAAGTGGGAAGATAAACCTTTCGTCTGGATTACATCTTGTGGTGTATATAAAGGACATGGAAGAAAAAAAAAAGCCTCTTTCTCTTTGCCTGCTTGTTCTTGCCCTTGCTAGCAAGTCCATTTCTCCACTGGTATTAGGGCCTGTTTCTTTGGAATTCCAGCATACATTGAAGACCACCTACAATATTCCGCTTTGTAAAATGATTCTTCATGACTACTGCATTTGTGGGCCTTCCATTTGTAAGCAGCCATCATTGGATTAGCTGGACTACATCTAATGTAAGTCATTCTAATAAATCACACATATACACACATGTTTGCACGCACGTGTGTGTGTGTGTATGAGAGAGAGAGACAGAGACGGATTCATTACTAGTGGTATAGCTGGATCATGTGCTAAACATCTTTCTAGCTCTTTGAGGAAGCCCCACACTGATGTCAGTAGTGGTTCCACCAGTCTGTTCTCTCATCAGCAGTACATATGTGTTCCCCTTTCTTCCACATCCTCAGCAGCATTTATTACGATTACAGGTCTAAATTTATACCATTTGTGCAATTCATCAACTCACTTTAATAAATAATTTTATGTTAGTTGATATAATAACCCTGGAAGGACAAGTCTGTCATCTTTCTTTTAACTCATGTCAAAATAACACAATCCTAGCACTCCAACTGAAGGCAAAGCAACTTAGGAAAGGAAAGGAGAAAAGGAACAAAGAGAAAAGCAACTTAAGAAAGGAAGGATTTGTTTTTGCTGAAAGTTTGAGGAGCACAGCTCATCCTGATGGAGAAAGTGTGTGGCAGAGCATGAAGCATCTGATCACACTGTGTGCACAGTCAGGGAGTATGAAGCAGCTGGTCACACTGTGTGCACAGTCAGGGAGTATGAAGTAGCTGGCCACACTGTGTGCACAGTCAGGGAGTATGAAGCAGCTGGTCACACTGTGTGCACAATCAGGGAACATGAGACAATTGACCACACTGTGCACAGTCAGGGAGCAGAGACAGATGAATGCTGGTGGTTATGCTTGGTTTATCCATGTGGAAGAGAATTTTCCCTCCTTAGTAAACCTCTCCGGAATCACCCTAACAGGCACAGCCATAGGTGTGTTTACTAGCAATTTTAAATCTTCTCAAGTTGGAAATAAAGATATCTCTCTCTCTCTCTCTCTCTCTGTCTTCTTACACACACACACACACACACAAATTCACACAAGCAATCACACATGAACAGATATGTGAACTCGTACCCAGACATTCAAACATTCCTTAACACTTGTGCACACAAACACACAGGCACACTCACACATGCAGTAGCATGTAACAGCCTGTTCTGCCCCACATTTGGAGGCCACTTTGTCCTGGCAGAGCTGCTGCTCCAGTCTGCGGGTCAGGGTCTAGCAAGAGAGAGAGTGGGGATGGAGGGGCAAGAGACTCGAAGAATGAAGACAAGACAGAGAGTCTGTTCAAGTCCCCTTTAGTGAAAGGAAATCCTGGGTATATACAAGCACACGCAGGGGAACACAGCTGAAGACACTTTACCACGTGCGCCTTGCAGCTGGGGGCATTAAACACCAAAACAAGATATGTGAGAAAAATAAGATATTTATCAGAGTGTGCTCAACTGTTGTAGGCTGTTGAAAACAAGTCTCTTGTCCGGGTATATGGCCTGAGATGGCTGC